CCCCCCGCCGCCCCTTACCAGGTGCCGCCCCAAGCATGTGCTTGGTTGCCTGGAGCTGGCCCTGCTTGTGGTTCAGTTCTTATACTTGTACATGGCTAAGTGTAGTTGCCATCTCCTGCAGGCATCCTTTTGGTACAGAAGGAACTGAAGCACTGTATTCTCCCTGTTCCCCAAGCTGCACCCACCTACAGAACTAAGTCCTGCATGAATTTAGTGAAAGAAATTCAGCATTGCAGGACTTAACTCTCAGAACCAGAACTGCTTTGGAGCAAGAGCAGCATGCGCTAGCACAACTCCCTCTCCCCTAAAATTCACCTTTTCTGGCTGTAACCATAGCATTATCCTTGACTCCGAATTCTCCTCTACTTGCATGTCTGTAAACCTGCTCACTAGCACTTCTGCAACACTGCCTATTAAAGGAAACAACTTTAATGCCACCTCTGCTGAAATCCCAAGTTCCTTCCTCTCATCTCATCTTGACATTTGAAAGGCTATTCTCTAGGGGGTCCCAAAATAATTACTCTTAAGACTCCAGCACAAGCAAAATGTTTTTGTCCCAACCTTCCCAGACTGCTCTGGCACCCTTGCACAGAAAGCCAGCAGCTTTTGGAATTATTTTGATCTTAACAAACCTGTATAAACTGATAATGCATCTGGGGCCTTATTGTATAATAATGGATACAGATCCATTTATCAATTTAACACTGACTGGAGGCACATGATTTTTTTAGCCAAGCATCTGAGTCCTATCATCATCTGAGCCCCAAATAAAGGAGTTTAGATAATTTCAGATAAATTAATCCATCCTGTTCAAAGTTCACAATTTTATTTTATTGGACTATATTACAGGGATGAAGTTTGTTAAAACAGCAGTAATTTATATTAAGGTATATGGGTCAATATCAAGTAATCCTGAGCTGGAATTCATCTCTCAGTGATGGCATTTAGAGCCTGATTCAGAGACCAAAAAAAAAGAAAAAAAATTCTGACATAATGTCAGCAAAGAAAACTCAAAATAATTTCTAGATACATAAGTAAATCCCCAAATCCAGGAGTTCATTTAAAGCCACTGGCTGTTTTGGACACTAATAATTACCAATAGTAGCATCTTCTGTTTAGTCCATTTATCGTTTTACAGAATGAGTATAATGCTGGAATTGTCACAGAGAACTACATTTGCAACAAAACACTGCAGACATGTAACAACTATGAGACACTAGATCGCTCATTCATTTATAGGTTCAGAGAGGGGGTTTTGTTTGGGTTTTCTTTTCTTTTTCTTATTTTAGTTAACAATTATGTATTATAAAGCTAATGTTGATTCACTGTTTTGTTGTAATGGAAACAATTCTCTTACTTTTAATAATAATTGAAAATGGCATACAAATTTTGCTAAGAAACAAGATACAGGATAAACTGTGCATTTTTTTCCCTGTTAAAGACAGCATAAAAAATACCTTTTTCCTTTTTTGAACAGTAAAAGATGTACATCCTGCAAAACAGGGAGAAAAATACTGGACTTCATCTCTGCCACAAACTGGGTAATAAAAGGAGCGTAAGCAGTTGCAGTTAGCATTACATGGTGCAGTCAAGTTCTGTAATTTGCCTGTTCTGTAAGGTAAAGATTAAACATGCAATGAGTAAACAATATATTTCATTAACTCAGTTTAAGAATAATTTACAATAGAGAATAGAGAGACATGAGTCAGTAATAGAACGCTCATATGCTCACTAATCTACAGTTCTACACAAACATACATTACTACCATAATAAAGTTCAAACTAATTACAAACGTAAAGATCACACTTCTCTTTGAAAATTTTATACTTATTGTAATACCTAAAATTATTATACTGAAATATTAAGGGGAAAATTCTAGTTTGTATACTCAGTGCATCTGACAGCACTTTGTCTAGTGATTTTTATTATATACTCTGTATATTCAGCTTCCCTAGCTGTTTTTGTGGATCATTAACACAGCTACAGACAAGAGAAAAAACACATTTGAAAGATAATGTGGAAAATGATATTGTAAAATATAAGCCATTTTTACTGCTTTTATTGATCAAGTATTATGTTGATTTTATTCCTTTAACTCAGTCTGACTCATGATCCATCTCTCAGATATCTGCTGCTTTATTAGTCCCTTAGCCAGATGACATCTCGATTGTTCAAACACCAAGAAGGCTACATGTGCTAACTGCATAGTGGCAAGACAACACCTAAGCTCTGTCCCAGAGCTGCACAGCTGCTCTGGGAATTGGTAACATAGATAAAGGAATTCTTTAACTCCTGTGTACTACAGCTGCATATTCTAGGTTTAGTCTTCTCACTTCCAGAGCGGTAAATTTACTATAGATCTATAGCTGAAGTAACCTTCATGCACAGCCTTATAACATTAAACTGTTAATGAGAAGTAAATTAGAAAGATTTTCCCCTAATGCACAAGGATGGGACAGGATGACAATGATTTTGAATTTCCTGATGGTAATAGCGCATTAAACAACTTTGCATTATAAGCTGTTTCACAGCTAGTTCTACTGAAACAGTAGTTTAAAAATCAAGCTATATTCTAAAGTGAGTGGTACTATGTTCATGTCCAAACTATCACTTAAACACCCTCCAATTTCAATTGGGAAAAATTTGGGTCAGTTTATAAACTTCTATTTTTATTATGTGCTTCTAGAAGTAGGCTCTTTAAAGATATAAATGAATCTTTAAAAGGGAAATTCACTTCTCCTGCCAGTGAGAGTTCAGTTAGCTATAAAACGAAGTTATTATGCACAGCATTCAAACTGCATGTGGAATGCTACATCAAAGTTATATGTCTAGAAGCATTCAGTCATTTTACTGAATGGTAACATGTCTTTGTTCTTTATAGTTATACAAAAAGAATTTTCTGCAGACATCTTCAATTTTTCAAAAATATACTGAAAACTGAGTTAGCAATGCTCCTATCAAAGAGAAAATCCAGGCACATAGGGAAAAGACTATTGTGTTTATTTGGTGCACATGGACTCTAATGCAACTGAAGCAAGAGGGGGAAGCTTTTACTCCACCACTTTTCCAGGAAAACTTGACTGGTGGAACCAGCTGATTGACCCTAACAATCCTCATAGGAATGTGTAGTTTTTGCCAAACAGAGACTGGCATTCAGCGTGCCATCAGTACAGCAGTGATTTCACCACATTCATTCTCTTCAAGAGCTCAAGGAGGTGAAGGGGATGTTGGTGGGGCAGGTTTTTCTCCTGAGATATTACCATAATAGAGTTGAGAATGCACAATGCATTATTTCCATCCATGGTCTCAAGTGAACCATTTTGACATTTCAACTGTACAAAATCACCACGACTGCTAATTAAGTTTTCTTGGTGAGAATCAGAGCACAAAATGATATCAGCACCGTGTCAAGGATTGTTTCTGTGTGTCTTAACTCAAAATTTTTACAATGAATTATTTTCAGCATTAATAGGTGTAGAAAGATTGGTATTACACTGATACAAAGGAAAAGGACATAAAAGTATCTTTATCTTCTACAAAGAGGTAGTGTTTGTTATGATGGCTGCCTTCAAAATTTCCAAACAAAACAATAAACACCCACCTACTTCCCAACTTCATGGGACTATATTCAATTTCAACTCAAGCATCAGTCAAAACACTCTTGTAAAGAGAGATTCGCAGAGGAATGAGTCATCAGTTCAGTACCTAGGGATTTAGCCACACCACATTCAAATTGGGTGTCAATCATGTGATTAAATTCCCACAAGCTCATAGAATCTCTACTAGTTACCATGTCTACAGATTTAGCTGTGTATTGTTCTAAAGTTTCCCGAAGAACCTATGAAGAAGTGCTATTAAATCCCCTTTTCTTTCCCAATCGTTTTATATGTCATTTATCAGACCAAGCCCTCTGACAGGTAACATGATTGACAGCATAAAAATTAACTGTTGCCAATAGATGCCAGAAAAGAGTGCAGCTGAAATGGTGCTGATAAGTTTAGCTGTGAGGGTTGAGACAGACAAAAAGTCTTCGACATCATTGCAACAACTATGCAGGATTCAATTACGGTTGCTGAAATGATGCTGAAGAGAGAATGGCTTTTTATAGACCTGCTGCTAATCATCGGCAATGGCTCAGCTGCACCTGTCCACAGCAGTTCACTATTTTAGTACAAAGATACTGTAGAGTTATGGATACAAAAGATTTTGCAGTATAGTTCTGTTTTACACATTCAGAGTTTTCAACAAAATTCTCTTTTCCTTTTGGGCTAGAGTTTTCCATGTATAATCTCTTCCCATAGTTAAATGTGCACTTTCCAAATCCAGGTTTCTTATGTTACATGTTCAAAATTTTAAAACTTCTGTACTAATTTTCCTTGAAGTTGGCTTCACTTTAGATCTTAGCAAGACTAGCAAAATGCCTTATTTGAAGAAAAAGTTTAAAGTTGGCTCACTGAAGTGGTTTTCTTTACTTTAAATCTATGTGAATATAAAAAGATTTAAAAATGAATATTCAAAAGAACTATTAACTTCAAATCTACTGTAAATTGATGCAGCATTAAGATTCTATAATTAGGAATCGAAAAGTCAGAAGATGTGAGTTTTTAGAACAGCCTTGCAGTGGACAGGACACTAGTCTGGGGCTGGGGAGAGCTAGCTTCAATCCCTTGCTCCTTCACAGACGTCCTGTGTGTTCTTGGGCAAGTCTCTCTCTGCCTCAGTTTCCCATCTGTAAAATGGGGATAGTAGTACTTCCCTACCTAACAGGGTGTTGAGGATTAAAGATTGTGGAGTACTTAGATACTCTGGTGATATGTGCAAGGAAGCAGGTTGTGTGAAATTTAAGGTTGTTTAACCTTAAAACCCTAAAAGACACTTCATGACTTTTAAGCCAGTGATTTTCAATGTAGTAAGATGGAGTTGGGTGTCCAACTCTTTTGAATTTCATTAGCAATTGGGCAACTAACTCCCTTCAGCTCCTTTGAAAATCCGGCCTTAAGTGTGTAACCTTAAATTTGCATTATTGTGTTTTTGCATTTAACCATGTAAGACACACGAAAATGTTTTGCTCTTATTCTCACATTTTTCTTTAGTAGTTTGTGGGCAGTCACCATTTCATGATGTGTGTGTCTTATTTCATGTTTTAATAGATTAAAAAAACATAAGAATATTTCACTAGACTACTGTATCCTGAAAGTATCTGATTTATTCAGTTATGAATCTAGTTACTGTTTCTATTATAAGTTGTATAAGCCTACAGGTGGAACTCTGTTTTGTGTCATTTTCCTATTATATGTGTGAGCGAAAGAGTTTTGACTTTAATTCATGAATATTAATACAGACAGATTCATAGATTCCAAGGCCAGAAGGGACCATTGTGATCATTAGGTCTGACTTCATGTATGCCATAGGCCAAAGAACTGCCCCAAAATAATTCACATAAAGTGAACTCCATCTGATAATGCACATAAAGCGAATGAGGCATATTTGTCCTAGGTTAATGTATCTGAGTTTCTCTGTTTCCAACTTATGCTACAATTTTTGATGTTCTTCACTATTCACTTTTTGCAGTTACATGACATTGTTCCTGGGTATTCCTCAGCACATCAGAAGTGGCTAAATCTGATATCTAGGATCCCGGCTCTCCCAGACCATTTAGGACACAAACACCTCTTTCATGCACATTGTAGGGAGCACATGGGTTCACTTGCTTGTACTTGGTTTAGAGCCACTTGGGACCACCAAAGAGTTCAATTTATGGCAGAAAGAGCAAAAGGCAGAAAAGATAGAACAGCACTTTCTTAATTATTAATCAAAATAAAGGTCCTATTTTTGTCACCATATTGTTCTGACAACATATTAAGCCCTTTTCTAAAATTAAAGATGGGAAATGGGAACGAAATATTGAGAAGTAATTTACCCAGTTGCATTGCATATCACTCATGTTTATGCTTATCTTTAAATGGAAGCTAGAATCCCTAGGTACCAGAGCATGGAATTTATTTTCCACAACACCATCTGGCTGTTTGGCAGACCCTCAAACAATTGGAGTTGCCTCTAGCTCTGTCACTCCATGACAGAATAACTGGCTGCTGATGAGTTTGTCTGAGTTTCAGGATAGCTGATATTTTCTTTTTTTATTCTGCTTGATTCACAGCAATGTGTGTCCTTTTATCTGTTTATGAAACAGGAGTAATTTAAATCTCTTCAGAGACTCTGTGTGACAGAAATGAGTGTTTTTACTACCACTTGAGCTTTCTGTGAAAGCCTGCACATTTAAAAGGTCCCTTTGCTGGTACCGTCTTTAATCAAATAGGATTTTTTTGGCTAATCATCAGTACAATATGCAGATTGCCACAAACATTTGTACAAGCTGTTTCTTCCTACATCGGGTCCTCAACTACTCTCTTAAAACATGTATCAATTCCAAATATTTTAAGAACTATCAAAAAAAAATTATAAAGAGTATTTATGTTCAAAGCAGCATTTCAAACTGAAAATATGTTTATCATATTTAAACTGTAGTATCGAACATTGAATATCTGAATGTTGACAAGTGCAAAATAATGCACTGGGCAGCACAGTATGGGGAGGAGGTGACCAGCCCTCT